GTAATTTGAATAAAGTTATCATTAATTATATTTTGATTAAAAAGTTTGATTAAACAACCCAGGTTGCTTAGCCAGAATATATGTGTAGTTGTTAGGTAAAATTTTCTTCTCTGCAAGGCAATTTTAAATTTTCAAACCTGTTTGCACTGGCAGCAGGTTAAAAGCTAGTGCTCTTTTGATACCTGGGAGGGCAGAGAAGGAACATTCAGCTCCCAGGCTGTGCTTGGTGCCTGTGCAGGGAACAAGCAAAGGCAGAAACATTGCTTTGTTTCCCATCTGTTCACCACTTGGACTGAAGAGCAAGTTCAAACACCAAAAAGTGACCCAGATGCAGGTGAAGAAGGGCAGTTCTTGTAAAGAAAAGTGAGTCAAAGAGAGGGAACGTGCTGCTGCAGCTTACTTGTTGCTGCTGGACCCCAGTGTAAGAGCAAGGGTGGCACTGGAGAATAAAGGAAATTCCAAATTCAGACCTCTTTCACATCTTCCCCAGCCACTGAATCCATCCCTTCACCTGAAGATGCTCCCCCACTGCTTTTAGGTACCCAAATAGCTACAGACCTGGATCTCCTACTGTTGGGAGAATGGGGCTAAAAAATTGTGCCCTATTGGCACAGTGATATGCTGAGAGCAGTCGCTGACTCTTTAACTGCCAGGCTTAACCATCCACCTTAACCATTTGTTAAACTGCACACCCAGATAAAACCTCCAGCTGCTCCTAAAAACAGCACTCCATCAACAAAAGCCAGCATGAACGCCTCAGGCAAATGCTTTGCTTTTGTGTGAGCTCCCTGTTGACTCAAGGCCCCTTTCTGACCATCAGAGATCACAGAAGACTTGGCCACAGCTGAAAGGGAGGTCATACTCTTCCCTGTGCTCCAAATTTTGCACCATTTACATGACTCTGAAATCCCAAAACTCTTGAGTGACAGGATTCGTGGATGGATGTGGACCCTTCAGAAGAGATGGCTCAAGATAGAGGAAGGGCCTGTCGCCATTGCTGCCCCCAGAATTGTCTGATGGATGCAGCCAGGCTCTCAGGTTAAACTAAGTTCTCTGTATTAATGCTGGGTTGCATGTTTACTACCTTGCATAATTCAGACCTCACTGAGCTGAATCTTAACAAACATACATTCTGAATGGATTTTTATTATTGTTGCTCCCCCTACCCTCCCCCCCTGGTAATTAAGACTCATTATGTGGAGTCATCAGCTGTTTTGCTTTGTTTCCCATCTGTTCATGGTGTACTTGGGATCCCAAACAATACTGCAGATGGGAATGCCATTTCCGCTGGTTTGGTTTTGCTCCAGTGGGACTTCGTGTGGCCACTGGTGGAAGAAACGCAATGGTTTTGATTAAAGATTTTCCATATTGTAGACTCTTGTCAAATCTCAAAATTTTCAAGATTATGTCATTGACTAGAGTCAGTGGCAGCCTTTCTCTAAGAGGGTTTTCAATCCTTTCCCCATCTACAACACCTCCATTCTCTGAAGTCAACAAGGACACTTTCTTGAGAACAAATCTTGTGCAAGTCACTGGGAAAACCACCCCTGCCTGTGACTGGGAAGAAGATAATGTTCTGGTTCCATTGCTGTTAAATGGAGCAGAAGTTGGAATCTAATGAGACTGTGCTATGCAAGTTTAATCTCCTGTAGCCCCTTCACATTAGTCTTTCACTCCTGCATCAGTCAGACTGTCATACTGGCACACTGTTTCTGGCCTCTGATGGCTAGCAAACCAACTCTGAATTGCAGCCAAGGTATACTTTGATCAACTTAGGTACCATTTGATCTCATGCCTAATGCCTAAATGGTCCTTTTTCTCAAATACTTGTTCTCTCTCCCCAGATTTTATTCCCTTCAAATCCATTTCAACCTTTGCTATCTGAAGTTAAACAAACCACTGTCTTCTATAGCTTCTTGCTGGAAAATTATGCTCTCTGCTTTCCTCATGCTCCCCAGAGTTCTCAGGTGAATTTATTTCAATTTACATGTCCCTGCCATGGTGACAGGAGCCGAAGCACTGCTGTCAGTCCTAAAGCCAACCTACAGGCAGGTACCTGCTCCAGCTTCAGCCCCTCTCACTGCTGCTTAGTGCCTCATTTTTTCCTGGCCTGCATTCAGAGATTTATTTTAGTTCTCAGTTTGGTCTCAGGAACATCTTGAAAATGGCCTCCTTCCCCCCCTGCATTCATTTGCCGATGTGGGTTACATGGCTACTACATTATTTTGGTCAGTGATTCTCTGATTCCATTTCCTGGCAATTTTCTTCCAAATCTATAATTCCTACCTTGGTTTCTCAGCCTCCCTGCTACTAAAATTGCCAGACACTATTTTTGGAGTAGGTGTCAAGGGCGAGCTTCTCTCCGGGTGTAGAGAATGGGGGCATTTCATTTCACAGGGACACATCTATGTGGTCACAGCTCTCAGCATTACAGCAGCACTGAGCTCAAAGGTTCCAGGTGCTTTAACACTCCTCAGGTCCAGGGGCAGCCTTAGCAAGGATGGGCTTGTGTGGCTTTACAGCCAGGGGCCACAGAGCCAGGAGGGGCTGCAGCTCTGCATCCCGTCACACAGCAGGACAGTGCCACAGCTGGGAACAGCCACTGCAATTTCTGCCCCCAGGTAAAGCCAAGTCTCACAAGCACTGCCCTGCCCTGCAGCTGGTTACAGGGCAGGCAAACTGCAGTGATGTCTGGGCAGTCAGAGAGGAAAGGTCCTGTAATTGTTCTGGCTTTTCATCCTTGAATTGCAGAAACCTAAGAAGGCTCAGTCCTTGCATATTTGCCCCTTTCAGTGGAACATGATTGCTAAAGAAAAAGTCAGTGACCTTTACCTTTATTTTTTGTTAAACTGATCATTTCATCAGAAAAAATCACAAAATTAACATGTTGCCTCAGAGTGTATGCCAGGGCAGGAGGACCAGAGGAGATATTTTCAATAACACCAGAAATTGTTTTAATAAGGGAAAGAAATGATAGAAAAATTGTGAGGGAGTTATATTTAAGATGAAGAATAATGTCAGAAGATCACCTATGCCTAGTGCAAACCTCTCTGGAGTATCCAGACATCTCAGTCATAGCCTGAGCTTCACATTAGAGATAAATGAACCTTAAGAGGCAAGGAGGGGAGATATATAAAGACAGGTAATGCTGGTAGAAGTCTGGAGACCTTTTAAGATGCCTTAGATATAAATCTGATAAAAAAATAAAATCCAATAAAGCACACAATCATGCTTTCTAAACATAGGCTTTTACCTGTGATTGGGCCAAACCATAATTTCAGGAGAAGAAGAATCAAAGCAAATACTCATAGGAGAAAATCTGTTAGAGCTGTGAACTTTTCACCTTTAACAGCAAGTAATGACCACGGGGTGCAAGATCAGATGGCTGACTTAACCGCCGAGTAACAAAATTAGGCTAAAAGTTAGATCTGGTCTGCCCAGAGGCAACATGACAAATTAGATTCATCCCCTCCCCGTATTTGTATTAGTGCACTTTTTTATTATTGAACAGATTATAAAAGAAGGCTTTGCCTCAAGGCAGGGTTTTCTGGCACTGAACTAATTTTCAAGCTGAGGTTCTCCCCTAAGGGTGCATAAGACCCTCCCTTTTTTGCAGCCAAGGATCAGATCCTCAGCAAAGATTTATCTGTGAACAGCTGTCAACATATTTGGAGCTTTAAAAAACTGCAGATTTCTTTCTATAAAGCTACCTTAATGGGGATATAGTTTATTAATAAAGAAATATTTAGTATTTTTCTAAAATAATTCAGTGTGTTTCACTGAAAGATTTATTAAAAATTAATTGGTTTAAACTCAGCTCTCTGGGGCAGGCTTTGTAAACTCATGCTGGCTCCCAGCCTCAGTTGGTGGTCAGGAGTGAGGACTGCTGACAATGCAGGTGGCCACCCCTCTTCATGACAAGGCTGCAGGCTCACACCCTGAAAGTCTTGTGGCTGTGAGCTCTTGCAGTCAGTCACAAGTGTTAGTGTTTCCAGCACGAGGCCTCACTTTGCAGACACAGCTGCGTGGCATCCCTCTGACCTGGAAGGGAGCTGTGAATCAAGAATGCATTTTTTTTTCTTCTGAAGATGAAAGACTTTCAAAATTAATTGTATGACATTATGGCCTGTCTGTGTTGTCAGCTTTGATTTTGCTGTGACAAAATGATGGCCGCTCCCTGTCACGGAGAGTGACGCCGTGCCTGTGAGCACGGCACTCATCAAGTGGCAGCAGCGAGGAAAGCATCGGTGCAGGGAAAGCAGTTTCATGGAGGGGGTGCCAGGGTTGAGGAAAGTGCAGATGTTACACTCACACAGGGAAGCCTGCATGGCCATGGCTCGCTGCAGCTGGTGCTGGCTCAGCCGTATCACCCACAGCTCTGTGCCAGGTATCCACCTTCCCGACCCCATCCCCACAATCAGTCCGGCTACTGAGGGTAACACACTCCAGAGGTGTCCTTTTGAGCACTCAGAGCTGAATGCACAATCACTAGAACTAAAATCAGAGCAATTAAAGAGCAGCTCTGCAACTGCCTTTGCAGTGGGAGCAGAAGGCGAGGGAGAAGACCAACTCCTTTTCCCTTTAGAGGGCAGTGGTGTTCATCGTACAAAAGCTGCTTTTCAAGGAGGTAAATCCCTCATGGATAGCAAGCGGGTCAGCAGCAGCAGAGGAGCAGCAAGGAATGGGAACCAGTGCTGAAGTGCACTGGGTGCACTGCACCGTGCAGGACAGCACCTCACCCTGATGTACTTTCTGTAATGCTCTGTGCAGGGGCTCATTAATTTCCCCTCATTTTCATGCACAGTAATCAGACAAGTAATTACGGTTCCACTGAGACTTCCTTTCTCCCACCACACCACGAGCACAGCCCAGAGTGAAGCGCTCATCACCATCAACGTTTGCCAAATTACTGCCTCCCTTCGAGCCAGATGAGCCCTTCCTGTGAGATTTAACCTGTTCAGGTAGCCAAAAAAAGAGCTGATTTCGAGGGCAGTACCAACCTTTTCATGGGCTTGGGCGAGGCCTCCCTCTCCAGGCTGGAGGAGGCGTGCTTCACGTGCATGGCGTTGTAGGAGGTGTGGGTGTACTCGTTCTCATCGCTGTAGTCGGGACCCAGCAGCGTTCGAGCCCACGTCCCCATGTCGTAGGGAGGCAGAGTGCCCCCAAACTCAGAGGGCAGGCATTCGGGGTGTATTAGCTGGTGGAGGCTGTTCAGGTTGTTCCCATGAAGAAAGATCTTTAACAAATAAAAGAAAAAGTTCAAAGTCATCACCCACTCCTTACTTCATTAAGTACAATAGCAGCGCTAATGAGGTGTGGAGCGTCATTAGTTGACTCTGCAGTTTCAGGTGGGAATTTCAAAAGCTCTCAGGGCTTACTCAGTTGGCAGAAGAGGGGGGATTAACTTCGGGGTGGGCAGCTGAAGAATTAGGCTGGCATTACTAACACCTCTGTAAACTCCAATTCGCTTGCTTTTGGCACTTGACAATTTCTGTTTCTTAAGTACCAGATCAGGAGAAGCAGAAGTCAGGAATTATGACTGATAATTGCTACTGTAAGAGGATAGAGGCTTACATGAAGAGCAGTGAGAAGAAAAGGGTGACAGTGGAGCTTACTAAAAGCAGGCATAAAGAGTAGGACTTCAGTATCTGAGGGGGCCTCTAGCCCTGTACCCCAGCACAGACACTTCCAGGGGGGTATCAGGCTGTGTCACCACTCGGTGCTGCTTCAGCAACACTTGGTTCTCTAATCCTTCTTTGCTTTCAGGTGGGTCCTACCCTTTTCCTGCCTAGTCAGACCCACCGCAGGGTGGGCTCTGGGGTCTCCTGAGGTATTATTTAGCTGTTGTTTGACAGACTGCAGAGAACAAATGGCTAGGATGACTGCAGAACCCCCAATTCACTTGGGTTTCAGTGGAGATGATCTGCCTCTTCTGCAGTGTGAGCAAACAGCCTTCAGGCTTGGGTACTTTTGGTGGAAGCAAGTGAATTACCATCATGTGAAAACTGTCACCCTGCTGAAGAAATGTATTTTTACTCCTACAAAAAGAGTTGAACTGAATTTTCCCTCACTTGCAAGCAACTTCAGCCAGGCCTGATAGTCCCTCAACATTGCCAGCTCTCTCTATTCCTGAGCATGTCCCAGTAAAATGTATCCATACTTTGTTAGTGATAACAAATTTCTGGTCCCTGGCTGAATTATTGATTCAATCCAGACCATTCCAAACTCTAATTTTTAATAACAGCAGCAATTCTCTTATACCACACGGAAAATGGAGAGGGGAAAAAAAAAACAACAACTAGAAAAGAAAACAGGCAGCTACTTGGAAAATCCAGGTCTGCAGGTTCCTCCCCACCCTCACTCCCATCTAGTTACCCTTTTCCTTGTCTTGTCTTTGAGGAATGGTTTGATTAGCGTGTACAGGGCATGGATGTACCAGGGCTGATTGACAAAATGGACTCCTCCAAAACGTGCAGGAAAGCTGTCCTACAGAGAGAAAGAAAGGAAGGCAGTTAAGAGATGCAGTGCTTCACTTCGGCAGTCAATAGGATGAAAGTCGGAGGAAAAATCTGTCTCTTTCCATCTGCAAACGAGCACTGGGAGGGGGCAGGAGGAAAATGGAGAAACAAAAAAGATGCCTGTTAGCGTTTGCATCAGTTTCCTCTGCGGACAGAGGCAGTCCCTTCGCCCCTGCACACACTGGCGCATCAATTGCCGAGGAGATGCTGAAGATTTAAAGTCGGGTCTCCAGCCACTTCTCACGAACATTTTTTAACTCCGTCAGGGCATCTGACTCGGCCGGCCTGGGAAGTGAGAGGGGGGTGACGAGGGGAAGCTCTCTAATTTCTCATTGTAGAGCGCAAGGCAAGCCCCCGGTTCCCACGCACAGCGCTGCTCGGAGCTCACCTTTTCACCCCTCGGCCTCCCTGCCTCCCCCTGCTGAAATCATCATTACAATGGCTGACCTTTCGGGGTGAGCAAGCAGCGTGCTGCAGGGAGGAGGATGGGTGGGAAATGCTGATAAGCGAAGGTGTGGGGAGAGTGCACCATGGCAGCACCATGGAAACTGCGGGAGCCGCTGCCCGGCTCGGCACGAACAGCCCGGGCATCATTGAGATGCAGGGAGCGTCCCGCTGGAGCGGCGCTCGCACAGCATCCCGCAGCATCCTCCGCCAGCCCGCCACGCCCAGGAGAACGGGAGGTGGCTGCTGGCCTCTCTTTACAGGTTATTGCACATTGCGAAGGGTGTTTTGCACCTACGAGCTTATCAAGGAAGAGCCTAGGATTTTTTTTTTTTTTTTTTTTTTTTTTTTTTTTTTTTTGCATGGCATAAATAATGGGACGACTGCTGCGGCTGTGTGCAAATACGCTCGCAAGGGGAGGAGAGCAGCCTGTCTCTCTGCTGTGAAGGGAGATTCTGATGAAGCCGTCCTCATCCTGTGTGTGCTCCTAACCCCTGCAGCTCAGCAGGAAAAGCAGAGTATAATCAGGTCTCCTCCTTCAGGGCTTTGGCTCTGGGACTCAGGCAGGTTCCTTCCCCCCACAATTAGCACAGGGTGTCCTGGGGCCTGGGGCTTTCTCTCGCCTTCCTCCCGAGCATCAGAGATTGAGCACAGCTGGTGAGAATACAGGGTTGATTTGTGAGATGATATGAAAAAATCCCCTTATACACCTGCTCTGCAGAGCTTCTCTGCTGCTTCAAGGTCAATTTTTCCCCCAGATTTAGCAATATGTATGCATGCAGCACCTCCTGCAACCCAGGGCACATCATCAGGACTCTCCACACTCTCTAGCTGTGGTTTGCCCTGGCTGACATCTAAAACCATACTAGAGTAATGTTTGTGAGCAGCCTCAGGCATTAAGTGATATCTTTTTCTTTTGCTATACAGTGAAATAAGCCATTTCCACCTCAGACAGGTCAGTAGATCTGAAATCATTACAAATCTGCATATTGGATGTTCTGTGAAGCACTATGGGGTAATCCGGCCAGCACACAGGAGGACAAGCAGTGTAACATCACAGGTGATCCCGTTTTAAATTCCAGTAAATGATGAATTGAGCTTTTGAGACCCCACCTGGTCTGGGGTCCTTAGCCCATGAAAGATGTCAACCTGCTCGAATGAGTCCAGAGGAGGGCCAAAAAGCTGATCGGAGGAATAGAGCACCTTTCCTACAAGAACAGGCTGAGGGAGCTGGGGTTTTTCAGCCTGGGGAAGGGAAGGCTCTGGGGAGACCTCATTGCAGCCTTACAGTACCTTAGGGACTCTGCAAGGAGGGAGAGAGACTTCTTATCTGGGCAGATAGTTACGGGATAAGGTTTTAAATGAAAAGAAGGCTGGTTTAGATTAGATGTTAGGAAGCAATTCTTTTCTTAGAGGGTGCTGAGGAACTGGAACAGAGAAATTGTGGATGTTCCATCCCTGAAAGTGGTCAAGGCCAGGTTTAATGGGATCCTGAGCAATGTGATTTAATGAGCGGCATCCCTGCCATGGCAGAGGGATTGGAACTAGGTGACTTTAAAGATCCTTTCCAACCCTATGTTTCTGTTCAGTGATTCCATGATTCTATAATTCTCTTTAAGGATGACATATGTCCTGTTGGGGTGTTCATTTTCAATAAAGAAGAGTGTATTTCCACTGCTTTTCATGGGAGTTTAGGATGCAGATTTGACTGAGATAAAGTGCTGCAGTGCTGCATGTTCCAGTGGCTTCAACTAATTGCTGAGAAATTGCTGCAGAGTCTGAGCCCAGCTAGCAAAACACATGGACTGACAGAAGTGTGAAGCCCAAAGTGATTTTCTACCATGTGATAACCTAAAATTGTGTTTTATAGCAGACCAGAGCCATAAAATGCCCATCTCATGCAAAATTCACAAATTCAGTTGCCTTCCTCACACATGGGAATGAAGCTTTTAAGATTTGGAGCTTTTCACAGATTATTCTAAAAAAAAAAAAAAAAACAAACCTAAGACAAACTGAAAAGCTCCATATTTGCCTTTATTTATTTATTTATTATTAATTCTATATTTGTCAAGCTGGCTGCCATCCCACAAGCTGTATCTATAAGGAAGAAGTTTCTGACACCTTTGCTCTTTGGAAGTAAATTGTCACAGCTGTTCCCAGGCTGTACTGTAGCAGCTAATATCAGGGTAGAAAGTCCAATCTGAGTTTGAAGCACAGGAAAGTAAAGCAATGAAAGATTGGAAGCAGGGGAATAACTTTAGGACACAGAGATTTAGACTGACCTGAAAAAGAAAGGTTTTTTGCCTTCCTGCTGGAATGCACAAATTATATTAATCATTTTTAGTGAGAAACAGCAGTCAGTCTTCATTTTCAAGGGGGAACATGTATTTTTTAGGACATGTTGACCAGCTTTAACAATACTCAGAATGGCCCAAATACTGAGAATTATAGGAACCAGCCAGAGCTTTAAGCTAGCAGTCTGCCTCTAGAAAAAAGGAGCAGGATGCACTTTCCTATATAGAACATTAATTTTACGTTCACCCAATGTAGATTGTTGAGTCTATAAGCTAGCTTCTGTCTCACACATCTGTGTTATAGGAAAGCCCTTAATATAACAGTTTTATTTAAAGGCAATTGCTTTCTTTTAATTTTGAAGGTACACCAAAACATGCACAAAGACCCTTGAAAAGGAAGCATGACAGTCAGAAAAAAAAAAAAAAAAACAATAAAACACCCCCCCCAAAAAAAAACCAAAACCAGCAAAGAACATTTTTTTGTGTGTAACTTTCTTCTAAACTTTGTTCCTTGCCCTATTAAGCACATTAAGTTCAATTTGACCTTCATCCCTCAGTCCACCTGCTTTTGTAAAGCTGTCAATTAGCACAAGGACAAAGACTTTTTTTTAAGGAAAAAAAAAACCAAACCCAAAGAAATTTGATATGGGAATCATCCAGAACTGTTTAGAACTGCAACATACTAATTTTGTAGAAGTCCCTAATTAGAACAGAGCTGTCTTGGAAAGTAAAGCTCCTGTCTGGAGGTCTGCCTTGTGCAGTTCCAGGAAGATGTATGAGACATTTCCCACACCCCACTTAGTGTCTCTGCTGCTTTCCCTGGGGCGAGGTGAAAGTAGCTGAAATTGATTTTCTGCTGGAGAGCTTTTGCTTTTAGGAATTCTCTTTTGATTTCTCATGTCTTGTGATTCCTTGGGAAGGTGTATTTTATAATAAGGTACATTTTTGGAGTCTACTGTGAAATGGACTCGGGGATCATGGACCCTTTTCTTAACCTGATTCCTTGTCAAAAATACCCAATCCTAAGGATATACCTGGGTTTTATTCCAATGTTAAAAATGAAACATAGCACACATTAATTGTTCTAATTATTTTTGGGCACTACTGTCTTCTCCTCTGAAAACAAGGCTGGACACATTAGCACGTTGCTCAGCCATGAAATTACAGAGTAGATAAATACATCCAATCCAATCCTATCCAAGCTAACCAGCTCCTTAGCAATAGCAAAGAATCACAGAATCACAGAATGGATCAGGCTGGAAGGGACCACAGCCATCAGGGCCAAACTCCCTGCTCCAGCAGGGTCGTCCCAGAGCACATGGCACAGCACTGTGTCCAGATGATCCTTAAGTATCTCCAGTGAGGGAGACTCCCTCTGGGCAATCTGTTCAGTTCTCACCCTGGAGCACAGGAAAGTTGTTCTTCTGCATGTTTAGGTGGAACTTCCCATGCATCAGTTTTTATCCATTCCTTCTTGCCCTATTGCACTAGTGACAGGACCCCAACTAATTTTGATACTAATTTTGACCCTCTGCCTTTGAGCCAGTTCTCAATCCACCTCATTGTACATTCATCCACACTTGAGTGAAAGAACTTCAGATATCTTCTTGGACAGCTGGCTCACTTCACAGTCAGTCCAGACCTTCTTCACTGGGACTTAAATTGATCTAAAACAGGGAATATATTTATCAATGTTGCAGTGGCACCTTCCCAGAGCAACATAGGCAAACTGAGAGGGAGAAAATAGTCCAAACATAGAGTTTGAGTTGATTTAATGAAACTGGGGCCATTGATGGGCCTATTCTTTTGCCTGATTTGTCTTTGTTTTGCTTTATATATTTGCTTGTTTGCTGTTTTCAGTTATTCTCCTCTTTATCATGCCTAAAGGGAAAGTAATGAACACAGTGGAGCTGCAACAGACCCCCCCAAACCCATGCAGGCTTCAATACATCTTTCATTTCAGATTGAAGAAGGGTCTCCAAGCTTGCAGGTCAGAGCAAAATGTTATGGGGATCATCGTTTCCCAACTCTGCTCAGACATCCTGTGCAGAAAAATTCTTGATCTGAGCCTGGAACTGAAAACCTTTGGTACATAATATTCCATTTAATAGCTTAGGAGGGGTGCTTGGGAACTATGAGGTCGATTAGAGAAAATTGTTCTTTCTTTCTGCCTGTTCTTGCCATGAAAACACCTATTTCTTTTGGCATGAGTATGCATCAGAAACCTTTT